TTGTCAAAGCATTTGGCATCAGCAACCTTGATAGTAAGAGACCAAAATGCTTGTTTATTGAAGAACTAACAAGTCTTTTGAGATACAATTTTAAATTGAAGTCAAAATTCAATGAAAGGAAAAAAAAATGGGTCAAAACCTAACCCTATCAGTACTTTTAAATCCAATAAATAATATGGAGACATATACAAACAAAGAATATATATTTCCCAATCAAATTGGGGTGACCAAACCAGAAACATAAACACATGGATCAAAGAAAGAAAGTTTTGATCAAATCAATCTCTACTTTGCTGATCATTCTTCTCTGTGCAGCAAATATAACAGAATCAGAGCCTACAAACCCTAGCAAGAAGCAATTTGTACTGGTTCATGGTTCCTGCTTTGGTGCTTGGTCATGGTACAAGCTTGTGACCTTAATGAAGTCATCTGGTCACAATGTCACTGCCCTAGACCTAGCTGCTTCTGGGGTTGACCCTCAGCAGGCAAAAGATCTGCATTCAATTTCTGACTACTTCAAGCCCTTGACGGATTTCATGGCAGCTCTTGATCCTCCACATGATAAGGTCATCCTTGTTGGTCACAGTCTCGGTGGGTTGGCCATTTCTTATGCCATGGAAAGATTTCCAGATAAGATATCTCTAGCTGTTTTCGTCACTGCCTTAATGCCTGGCCCGACCCTCAACATCTCCAGTCTTAATCAAGGGGTAAGTATTACTTTCATTAACTTACGTTGTTGAAAACTGCTTTGAAATAACTAAAAGTGTTTTTTCTTTTAATAACTTGCGGAAATGAACAAAAATACTTAATAAGAAATCACATAATCACTTTAAGCGCTTCGTAGAGAAACAATCATAAGACTTCGTAGAGAAACAATCATAAGACGCATGTGTTATTCACATAATGTGCTTCCAGTATTTTTCTTTTATATGCACATAATTTTATAAATATATATCTTTGAATTATTATGGGAAGTTCCTTGTCCTTTTATGCTGATTATATCTTTTTTTCTTTGATTTATTTTTCTCTTCTAATTGGAATTATAAAGTCGTTCGGAAGACAAGGATCTCTATTAGACAGCAAATACACATATGAACAAGGCCCAAGCAATACTCCAACCACTCTCATATTCGGCCCATTGTTCTTGGCAACAAAGGTGTACCAACTCAGCCCAATTGAGGTAAGTGAAATCTAACCGTTGGATCATCATCAACCAACAAAATCCAACCGTTCATATAAAACGGATCATAATTTGGTGCAGGATGTAGCACTAGGCACCATGTTAATGAGACCTCAACGCTTGTTTAGTGAAGAGGACATGTCCAAAGAACTCAAGCTAACCCATGAGAAATACGGGTCGGTCAATCGGGTTTACGTCTTATCGGGTGGAGATTTGGTGGGGAAGAAGGATTTTCAACGGTGGATGATTAAGAGGAACAGGCCAAACAGTGCGGTGGAAATAACAGGATCTGATCACATGGTCATGATTTCTAAGCCATTAGAGCTGTGGGTGCATATCCAAAGAATTTCTGAAAAATATTCTTAATTGTTAAGTTATTTTGTAAAAATAAAAGCCATGGAAATTGGATTTCCTATTAGCCTAATATGCATCATGTACTTGTTGTCTTCTGGATATCCAACCAGAAGCATCATTTGTCTGGAATCAAAAATTTAGATACATCCAAAGATATTTAATTTCGAAATTAAATAATTTAGCATCATTTGCCTCGGAGTTTAGTGGATGTGTGACCTTTTTGTAGTGAACTTCAACATTTGTTATAAATTATGCTCTGGACTTCACATATGAATACAATCACACCTGCCCAACTCATTGACAAGAACCTGTCCAGATTCAAGATAAAACTTCAACCACTCATATTATAAAACCTACCATTTTTCTATTAGCTTTCTTGCAAAAACAGAAAACAAAATACCATTGAGCAGCTTAGCTTCCAAATCAAATTCACCATCCATGGGAGAGGTTGATCCAGCTTTCATCCAAGACCCTGAGCACAGGCCCAAACTCTCCGTCACCGAAACTGAAGGCATACCATTGATTGACCTGTCCCCCCTAAACTCCTCAGACAACATTTCTGACCCTAAAGCCATTGAAGGGGTTGTCAGAGAAATAGGCAATGCATGCAAAGAGTGGGGGTTCTTCCAAGTGATCAACCATGGGGTGCTATTGGATAAGCACAAAAAGATCGAGGCTGCTGCTAGGAAATTTTTTGCTCAGCCTTTGGAGGAGAAGAGGAAGATCACGAGGGATGAAAAAAGTATGTTTGGTTACTATGACACTGAGCACACCAAGAATGTAAGAGACTGGAAGGAGTTGTTTGATTTCGCAGTGGAGGAGCCAATGTTAATGCCAGCTTCCCTTGATCCTGAGGACAAGGAAGAGACAAAGTGGACAAACAAGTGGCCTGAGTATCCTCCAGAACTAAGGTAACTCAATGATCACTAAGAAGAACATGCTTATTTTAGGTAATCATATGATTATACAAAGATGAAAACAAAAAACAGAGAAGCAATAAAATGTTCAAGAAATCTAGAACACCTGTGATTCATAATGAAAATGCTTAGGAGCCAATCAAAGAACACTAGCTCTCAATTGAAATGATAACTGTTTGTGCTGTAAGGAACCTTTGCATTAAAGGGTTAAAAACAACTTTGGAACTTGATCACTTATATGATCTAATAACTAGACACTGCATGCTTTGAGCAGGGTGGCGTGTGAAGAGTATACTGAAGAAGTAGAAAAGCTAGCTCTAAAGTTGATGGGACTTATAGCCTTGAGCCTAGGCTTGCCAGTAGACAGGTTCAACAGCTACTTCAAAGATCAAACAAGTTTTATCAGACTCAACTACTATCCACCTTGCCCTTCCCCTCAGTTAGCTCTCGGTGTTGGGCGCCACAAGGATAGCGGTGCTTTAACTGTGCTTGCTCAGGATGAGGTCGGAGGATTGGAAGTGAAGAGGAAGAGAGATGGAGAGTGGATTCAGGTTAAACCTACCCCAAATGCCTATATCATCAATGTTGGTGACATTATTCAGGTTCCACTCTTCAAACTTCATACTAAGTACTTGTGTGCAGTTTATTTTTCAAAAACTCGTTAGAACCAAGGTAAATTTTTCAAAAACTTGTTAGAACCAAGGTACCAATTACTACTATAGTCTATAGGGTAGCGATTTTAACACTCACATTTTGC